CTGAGCGTCCAAGTAAAATTTTTTTCAAAACGTTATTATTTTCAAAGTAGCAACATAAAATGATTTTTAGAAATTATAAGATGGATTAATTCAATGGTTTTCTCGATGTACGTCTACTCATATTATTGTATAAGTGCAATCTGGTAGTGATAAAGGGATTTGAAGACCACATAATTGCTTGGCCTTGACGTGTCGGGAGTAAAGCACTGTTTCAACCGCTTTGCGTTTTAAGGCGTGCAAAAGATTGTATGTACAGACAGAGCTTAAATGCTTATGTAATATTTGAGATTTTTAACTTATTTATTAAATTAATCAATTTACAAATAGTACTAACAACAAATTCCACGTTTAAATAGTTACTTGAATTACGCTTACTGTTAAATTTTGAAGATAGAATGTAAAGAAAATACAAGTAAGAGTTGACGATATGGTTTTTTTCTCCTTATTTGTAAATTTCCTTTAATTTATTTACTAGCATTTTGTCTATATATCCAGACATTATGATCAAAAATTAATCTGAAATCTGAAGTCAAATTTTAATTGTTCTTTTTATAAAATTGATTTGTTGAAATATAACGACTGTTGAGTGTTTTTTTTCGTTAAAAATTTTTTTTTAAAAAACTTTTATGTTAATTTTCCCGTGAGATTTAAAACAAGTTCGCGTAGCGTATTGTATCGATAGCATCACATATCTCGGAAGTACTCTATACCCTATTATTAACGTAAACTGCGAGTGAATAATTGAGTTGGCTTAATGGCAAGGGAGAATTACGTTGAGAGAGAACTCTGTAAATCCCCAGGTGACTGCAAAGTAGCTCGTTTACTTAAGCTAAAGCTGCACAGATAGTTATAGTTGAAAAATTTTTGTTTTAATCGAAAATTGAAAAATAAAAACTAAAAATGTCAACCAGTGGAACTTTTGCTTAAGTGAATAATTTTTTATTTGTTCTTAAAAGCATGAAAAGCATTTTTGGGGTGTTCTTTATTATCAAACTGAGTTTTTTTTACCCTATTGCGTCTACTCGACATGGATATGGAAGAACAAGTTTTATACAGTAAAATCTGAGTATTCTTTGTAGGCATCAGCAAAATTATTCCTACAGACTTGAGTTATCATGATTAACTTATGAACATTTTCTTTCATTGTCTTTACAGAAAAAACGGATATCTTATCGTAAGAAATTTTCTCTTGGACCAATAATATTTTTTGCAATTTGGATAGAGAATTAAAATTTTCTTGAGTCAAGTGAATAATTCTCACGAATTTTGTTATCTAGAAATTTTTAACTTGAAAAATTGAAAATGAAAAAAAAAAAAAACGGGAAGTTATTGATTTACAAACTTATGAATCCTACGATATCTTTAGAACGAATTAATTGATTGAGGCGCATGACAAGGTGTTCGAAAGAATCTATTAAGTCTTCAACCTGATTAGATTCTAAAGTTCGTAGATCGAGCCGTTTCAAAAAGATATTTAAAAAATAAAAGTAAAAAATTAATTTTTTTCTACTTTTTTTTAGATAACTGTTCAGTTTATCAACCAATCTTAAGTCATAAGTCCTAATGTACACTCTTTAAGTTTGAGAAATTGCATCGAACGTCGTAAAATGGATTAAAATAATTGAACGACACGCTTAAGGACATTCTGTGAAAAAACCGTTTTCTTAAAATTTTTTTGAAATTTTGAGTACTTTTACTCATAAGTATCCTCTATACGCAGGAATTTTTTTAAATAGTCCTTGCGGCACTAAATTTTTGAATATTAGTATTTAAAATTTGTATATTTTACATACAAACCCTATGGTGACCGACGTTCAAGCGAACGTTTTATTAAATATCAATCATACTTTTCTTAGGATTGTTTTAAAAAACTGAGAATCATTAATTGAAGATATAACAAGTATTTTTTATCAAAAATAACATAAACGAGTGGTATTCATTTTTTTATAAAAAATGTTTAAAGTTAGTGACTTTCGATATTTTACGTGAGTGGAAGTAAGTGAGCGATAGTCTGTAAAGAGAGGCAGCATTAGTGCGTGAGAAAGAAACCAATAGCCATAACCTATTGGTGTCTTTTTCTTGATGATGAACGTCCTTAAGATATTCTAAAGTTTCCAAAAAAAATTGTTCTGATACAATTCTCAGATTTTTGATCTCGAAGAACTCTTTTGATCTCGAAAAATCAATCATCTGGTAGATTTTAGAGCACTATATCTCCTATTAAAAATTTGTATCAATAATCAGAAACAAATCTGGAAAGTAGTCATAGATTTTATTGGTCATGTGTTTGAGATTCTGAAAGAAATTGATGGAATGACGGTAACAATGAAATGTATAGAATTGAGCACGTGGGTCACACCATCATTGGTATCTTTTATCCCCACAAGACGTATTACTCTTATGTATCTATTTCGCTTTTGTTTCCCTTTTGTGAAGAGATTCGTCACAACTTACGACACGAGTAGAGAACTCGAGAGGGTGCATAAAAGTTCAATTCGCTTCATCATTAATGTTTGAAGTAAAATAGTTTATTATAGACTAACTATTATACTTGTTTTGTTTCTGGTTTTTTTAGCTGCTTGTCACTTTTATTATCGGAATTAAGAAAAAAAATATCTTTATTATTTACATTACAGTTCAATTGATCAATTAAACTGACAAAGTTATGAAATTAACTCTAATACTTTAAAGATGGTTGTTGGTCTACTTGTTATATTCATGATAGATAGAGTTTCAGGAAAACACAATTGAAATTGGTTCATTTTGAGAAAGTTTAAGTATAAAAAATTAAACTTTTTTGCACGCCTGAAAACGCGAAGCGGTTGAGGTAGTGTTTTACTCCCGACTCGTCAAGGTCGAGCGATTTTGTGATTTTCAAATGCCTCTATCATTACCATATTGCACTTATACAATAATATGAGTAGACGTACATCGAGAAAACACTTGAATTAATCCATCTTGAAGTTTCCAAAAATCATTTTATGCTGCTACTTTGAAAATAAAAACGTTTCGAAAAAAATTTTACTTGGACGTCCAGATGACCGGGCATTTTTTAGTAGTTCCAGAATTCGATGAACGTACCGTATTTCATATCAGTAGTCCAGTTTAATTAGTGTTTTTTTTAAATGAATTTTCATTAAAATTGATTGTGATACACACGTACAAAAACAAAAGAACTTTTCTTTTGTGACTTTGACATCACGGTGTATTCACCGTGCATACACGGTGTAGTTGATACACAATGTATACACCGTGTATTCGTTCCATTCGTACACGGTGTATTCTCGGTGTAGCCACAGTGTATCTCCAGTTTATCCACGGTGTATTCACAGTGTACCCACGGTGTATTCACAGTGCGTTTACAGTGCATTCAAGGTGTAATTACTGTGTCCGGGAAAACATGTTTTCGTGAAATTTCACGATTTTATTGTGAATTGCTGGATAAATTTCAGCTTTTCATGCAAAAAAGTTATGCACAGGTTAATAAAATTACACAGGTTCATTTTCATATTTAATTTCATTTTCAGAAAACTAAATAAATTTTTATAAAAATTTGTAAAATAATTAGAAATTACTGATTAACTATATTAACTAGAAATTGAAATTAAAATTGCAAAAGGAATTCTAAAATTTTGTAAAAAAAAAATCTGAAAAGCAATTGACCCAGCAAGCCATCTCTGGAATTTTCCGCTACGTACGAGTTCAAAACGCTCGAGAAATTATCTTTTCCGAAGTTTTAAGCTTAAACACAACTTTTGTATTTTTTCAGCTTTATAAGCTTGAAAATCTAGTGGTTGTTGTCAATATACATTTTCGAAAATTATTCTTATTTCTCTCAAGCGAAAACTATAATCATATATTACGAGATTTTTTCAGACTGCACATCCGCATATGACAAGAAATATGGGCGCCAATAATTAAAAGAAAAATTAAAATAAAAAATACCCTGTGAGAAATTGCATCATTATTTTTTTTCTTTTAAAAATCAATTATACAATTCATTTTTAACTTCCCGCTAAGAAAATTGAAAATTTTCAAAAATCGAGAAGTTATTGGTTTTACCCCGTTTTTCGAAAATCGAGTTTTCATCGGATCTCGACGTTTTGAGGTCCTAGGAAGCTTTCCTGACTATTTTCACGATGATGTCCGTACGTATGTATGTATGTGTGTGTATGTAAACTTCTCGTAACTTTTGAACGGCTTGACCGATTTTATCGCGGTTCGTGCCATTTAAAAGGGCTTCGCCAAACTTAGATTTCCTGTAAGTTGGAACCGATTCGGACCAGTAGATTTCGAGAAATTGCAAAAAAAGTGAAAAAAAAGCGACAAAAAAGTTGTTTTTTTTTTTTCATTTTTTAAAAATATCTCCAAATTGGCTGAACCGATCGACCTCAAAAACTAATCAGCTCTTAACCTTGAAAACCCGCATCGATCGCCACCAAAAGCGTCAGAATCGGTTGATGCGTTCGTGAGATATCGTTGTCGAAAAAAAATCGAAAAAAGTGTTTTTTTGTAATAACTCCGAAATGTTTCATCAGATCAATTTTTTTGTTAAGAATTATTTATAGAACTCAGAAAACCACATCGATCGCCTACCGCGTGAAAATCGGTTGATTAATTAATAAGTTACAGCAGTTTGAAAATTAGAAAAATCGTGTTTCATCAAATTTTGATAAGACTTTTGGGCTCGAAGAGTTCAAAAGCGTAGCAAAGCTATCTCTTTGAGCTTGGAGAGCTTAAAATAACACATAAATTGTATTTTTGAGCTCGAAAACGTCATAAGTGCAATTTTAAGCGCCTAGGTATGGAATTAGCGGGAAGTTGCAGGGATGGTCTTCAGGGTCAAGCGTTTTTCTAATTTTTTTTTTTTAAATAAATGATCACTATGGAGCGTGCACTTTTGGATTTTCGAAACTTTTCTGTTTTGTTTTTTTATTTTTTATTTTATTTATGAATCATCAAATTTCTTCTTTGTTTTATTGTTAAAAATTTAAAATTTATAAAAATCTTTGCATGGTATTAAGCCTGTTATTAATTTCGACTGCTAAACTTTATAATAATAATAATTATAATAATAAAGTAAATAAATAATATTTACCACTCAAATTGTCTTGTGAACTAGGTGACGAAAGGTTAGTAAGTGATGTTGGTTCAATGTAACTACGGTCTGATGGCTCTTCTTTAACTGACACACAATCAGCTACTTCATTTCTCCCTGGACTTGGTTTTCTGTACAAAAAATAACTAGAATATAAAAATGAACTATAATAATATTTTATTCAAATGAATTTAGTTTTCTCATAGTTATAGAATATACTACATACATTTTTTAAAACCTATATTGTCAACTTACAAAATCATGATAGAAAATATGTTTAGTTAATATACCATCCACAAATACACTGATAAAAAAGTTAATTTGATTCAAGAGCAAATATCTTGAATCAAGTCAACTTTTTTATCAGTGTATCGAAGCTAGTTAATCTATATATTTAAATACATCGTAAAAATTTAAAATAAAAATTTCTCACCCAAAACATGAATCAGAAGTAGCAGGGCTGAGGTCTAAAAAGTTGAGTCCACTTCCATGATATTGTTGATTGTATTCATTATTTTTTTGGCAATTAATCGAAGACTCTTGTTTGACAACTTCTGCAATGTAGTTAAAAGAAAATTACTCCAAATTGAGTTAAAAAATTTCTTTACAGAAGAAATTAAATCGTTTTTGATAGAAAGTAAATAACACTCGAGAAATAGCTTGTATAAATAGATATAATGATGACACGGTCATGTAGCTTGGTTGTAGATTTCTAAATAAACTATTATCCAACTTAAATCATGTTTCAGTTGCTAGTACGCCAGCTTATTTGTCCGTCAAATATGTGAAGTAGAGGCGTGCAAATAACAATTCAAAATATTTTAGTTATGAATTAATTTTTGAATTATTTTTAAGTTTCTAAATGATTCAAAAATTGTCGAGTACTCCAAAATTTCAGCTCATTATGTTATATTACCAAACTCGACTAAAAAAAATTATCACCTTTTTATCTAAAATGGCTTTTTTTACTTCTATAAGCTACTATAACATCTTCAAAAATCGACTAGTAGGGACGTTTTATTTATTTTTTTAATATCTATTTTTAAATTTAATTTTTCGAAAAAAAAAATTATTCACCAGTTATCTTCATCGAATTTTTTCAGATTTTCGAAAAAAACAGAAATTTTTCGATAAGTAAAAATGTTGACTAACTACATGCAAAAACAAAGAAAATGAAGAAAAAACGCGTGGGTATGTCGGTGTGGAAAGCTCTTCAAGCTCGAAAATCTAGAAGTTGTATTGGTAGAATATTTTTTCTATTTATTTTGAATTTTGACTTCTCTTGAACGAATAAATCAATTTAGATTCGATTTGTGGCATTCAACGCAGTTTTTTGAGCATACACAGAAAAAAAATGTTCTTGAATCAAGTATATAATCTTGAAGAACTTAACATTCTTGATTTGAGTAGAAAAATTCTTGATTTAAGGAAATTTTACTTGATTCAAGAATTTTTCGTCTTGATTCAAAACAATTACCCTCTTCAAAATTATATTCTTGGTTCAAGAATTTTCCTCTTGAATCAAGTTCATTTTTTTTTTCAGTGTATAAAAATAATTTATTACTCACAAAACGATCTAGTGAGAAATTTCAAAGTTATGTAAAAAATCACTTTTCTTAAAATTTCGAATTGCGATGTCTCGAACGATTCGACTAGTTTTGATGCGGCTCGAAACCTTGATTTAAAAGAAAGAAATTCTTGGATGAAGTACATACGTGTACCTTGTTCGAATGCAGTAAAGTACTTTGTTGGGTAGAAAAATTTTTAAATGAAGAGCTTTCTGCTTTTCATTTAAGAGTTTTATTTGATCGATTTAAGAGTTTTTTTCTTAAATTAAGAAAACTGAATGTGTTGAAACAAAAGTAAAATTTTGAAGAAAACTTTTTTTTTTAATCAAGTATTTTTTTTCATTGTGTGTTTTGTATTTATTTTTTTAGTAATGAATGAATTGACTGAATCGGCCAATCAAAATAAAAATTAATGGAATCGAGAATACAATAAAGCTTTAAGATCTGACATAAGGACGTGTGTCATGACGGAAGTAGAGACGCATCGTTGCAGTGGCACGTGAGTATGTAATGGCCTTAGGGTTATCAAATGTTATGGATAGGAGTAACATTGAGTAGGGAAACAGATTCCTACTTCTATGATAGTTTTGATATTATAATAGGGATGACTATATAAAGACTATAACGATATATGGAAGCGAAAAAAAGGGGGAGCTCAAAAAGGGATGAGGTCAAACTAATGTTATAAATCAAATAACATATTTATTTTTTCGTGGGATAGTTTTTTTTACTAGAAACATTATAATTTGTTGAAAATAGAATAAATTAATTAATTATAGTATTATTAATCATTATCAATAGTGTTTGTAACTTAATATTACTTAAAAAAAAAAAAAAAAAAACAAGACTGCCATATTATTAATTGTTTACATTACAGTTTAACGAAATCCGTAATAAAGTGTGGCGTATATTCAAGCATAGTATGAAAAGACCAGATATTAGAGAAATGCAAACAATAAATATACCCCTGAGGGTATTGTATAACTTGTTAGCAGGGAATCATAATTAAAGTTCAAGCAATCAAATTATCTATAAAATAATATCGTTTATAATGTTGCATCTATATTGGACAGCATGAATAGTTGTTGAATTTATTATATCGCTTTTATTAATCTATAAAAAAAATTAAAAGAGAAAAGTAACTTGATTTTTATACACAGTGAGTTTAAGATGTGATTGATAAATTATAAACGCAAATTGTTTTGCTCAGAATAAAAGCATAAAGTGCTGATGCTTGTAATCTTACAACGATAATGTCATCCATATTCAATCAGGAATGATTTTTATGCATTGAAAATAAAGTTAAAAATAATAAGAAGATCGAATATAAAAGTAAAAAATAATGCCTTTAGCAAATATTTTATTTTAATGAGATAGCATATATTCAGAGCAAAAAAATTTGTTTATCATGTAATCAGTTTCATTTCTTTAACGAAATATAATTTGTTAAACAAACCACTTGAATGTTCTTAAAAAAATTTTATAAAATAAAAGGTTCGATTTTGAGAATGCAAATTTTCATCAGATCTCCCTATTTTGAGGTCCTAGGAAGCTGTTCCGACTATTTCCGGCGGGACGTCCGGCCGCGTGTATGTTTGCCTATAGGTGTCTGTGTGTGTGTAAATAAAATTTTTAACCGATCGAGATGAGTAACACTTCATTCCAAAGTGTTCATTGTGTTCTAAGATATTCAAAAAATAAAAACCAGAACAAAATAATTTTTCATATAACCTGCATTGAAAATGCGAGTTTCAGGGCCAGTTTTTCAATCCGGGATAAAATTTTATCCGAGATAAAAGTACCGCCAATAAAATAAAAAAAAAAATAAATAATTCAGCGACATGATTTTGCTCTCAATTAGTTCGCCATGAATTTGGTCGTTTATTTAAATAAAAATAAATAAATATATCATAAAAATAATAATAACCTCTTATTGTGTCATTTAAATTATTTTAAATTAATTAACACAATTATAAATTAATAATAGATATGTCAAACGTAAGATATGAGCTCGAAGGGCTCAAAAGCATAGAACATGTACCTCTTTGAGCTCATAAAGCTCAAAATAACATAAATTGTAATTTGGAGCTTGAAGAGCTCAACAACATTATATAAGTGCAATTTCAAGCGCTTAGGTATGGAATTAGCGGGAAGTTACAGGGATCTCCTTCAGGGTCATCCGTTTTCCTAATTTTTATTTTATTTATTTACAATAAGGAACTTGTCACAGTTGGAGGTGAATATTTCTGTGACATTTGGCTAATGTTTATTTATTTTAATTCAAAATAAGTGACTGAATTCAAGGAGAATTACTCGTAGGCAATATCACTGTGCTGAATTATTCATTTTTTTATCATAATAACTTTATTCTCGGATAAAATTTTATCTCGGATTGAAAAACTGGCCCTCAATGCCTGTTGAGCCAACCGAACCTAGACAATTTCAGACCAATGCAACTGTGCCGGGCAGGAATCAATCATTTCTTCCCGGCGGGCAGAAAATGACGATTTTCTGCCCGCGAGATGAAGTTGCAGCTTTATTTTCAATCCTATCAATTGTTTGTTTATTTTATACCCTTATAATTGTCATTCTAACCGTTGACTGTACTGACATATTATAATTATGTTATTAAATATAAATACACGGAGAGAAATGGATGGTAGATACCACTATACCAGTATGGGCGAGAACGCCATACAGTATGGTATCGAAGATTTTTGTCCATTATTAAACTGTACACATAGATGATTCGACCATGCGGGAATGGTAAAATTGGCTATAGTTATCGCGGATGCCGCAATGCTAGTATAGCCGTCAGGCCCATACTGGCTTGCCGTATGTACAATTCTTCTGGCAGGTAGACCTAGCCAATATTGTGATTTTAGCTACAACATTATTGGAGTAACAGCAATGTTTATTTAATTATAGATGTAGGTTATGTCCGAAATATATTATATAAATAAAAAATGATATTAATTATTTCATGACATGATTGTTATTTTTTTATTTTTACTCTGATATGAATTGATTTCAGTGAAGAAAAATAACAACAACAATCAAAAAATTACAAGAATTTATGTGTCTTATTAAAAATATGAGAAATTAAAAATATGAGTTAAAAAATTATATTTATTAATTTATTAGAGTCGATTTGTTTTAATTAATTAAAATAAAATTTCAAGTGTGAATAACTAGGCCAGTGTCAATAACTGGGTCTTTTACCTTATATACACTGATAGAAGGATTTATTAACTATTAATAATTTAATTTATTTAAAGACAATTATTTAATTTATTAAATTTTAATGAATGTTTTTTAACATTTAATAAATATTTATTTGGGAGGAAAGTACATTGATGAATAGTTAATAATTATTTATTTATTAGTTAACAAATATTTATTAACAGTTGATAAATATTTTTTTGAGTAAATTTGTTTCCCTTGTAATGTCATATGATATGAAGATTGTTTATAAACAAAAATCATCTTTATAAATTATTTGTATTAATTATATTACATTATATTAACGTTTATTATAAAATACTAAATTCAGTAAATTCTATTACAGCTAATAATTATATTTTATATTTTTAAATATTGAAATCGTTAATTTATTTAGTGAATTGAATTATTATCATGTATTTCAGCTATAGAATCATAAGAAGTATCAAAAGAAAATTACTATTTTTGTTTTTTATTTTAAATAAATATTTGTTAACAGTTAACAAATATTCATTAACCATTAATAAATATTTATTAACTGTTAATAAATATTCGTTAACTCTTAACAAATATTAATTAACATTTAATAAATCGTATTTAATAAATAATTTTTTAACTTTTAATAAATATCTATTAAATCCTATGATGTTAAAAAATCATTTATTAACAGTTAATAAAGCTTATTAAATAAAAACAAATCTTTCCGTCAGTGTTGTTTTGGTGGTAACACAAGAGTTTAATTGCTTAACACGCCAAAAATTA